GAGAACAATTAACCAGTGGAACAACCTGCCTCCAGAAGTGGTGAATGCTCCAACACTGGAAGTCTTTAAGAAGAGACTGGACAGCCATTTGTCCAATATGGTATAGGGCAGACATGTCAAACACAAGGCCCAGAGGCTGGATGTGGGCCACGAAGTGGTTTCATGTGGCCTGCAAAGCCATCCTGGAAACAGTGAGGGAACGGCCCCCGCTGCCTTGGCCCGGGCCCAGGCCGGCCGAGAGCCAATGTACAATTTTGTGGTGGCCATCTATGCTGAAAGGCATTCAGTCTTAGCTCCACAAGGCCGTCTGGAAACAGCGAGGAACCAGCCCCTGCCGTGTCGGCCCCGTCCCCTGGGTGCATGCTGGGGAGGTGTCACCCTTTGTGAGGAATGAAGAAATGCACCATCGCCTGGAAGTGGCCAGCAAATGGCCCCCGCCTACTTCACCTATCCGGCTTGATGGGCTCTGCCCTGGTTCCCCCCCCCCTTATGCCAGAGACCCTCAGATCTGTCCCACTCCTGCCCAGGCCCCCACAGGCACCCTTGACGCGAATGATGTAGAACTGGTCACGCCCACCCAGTAGGCCACACCCACTCCATCCACGCCCACCCAGTAGGCCACACCCACTCCATCCACGCCCACCCAGTAGGCCACACCCACTCCATCCACGCCCACCCAGTAGGCCGCACCCACCCTGGCCACACACCCCCAAAGGGCAACCACAATGCTGATGCGGCCCTCAATGAAATTGATTTTGACACCCCTGGTGTAGGGTTTCCTGCCGGAACGGGGTTGGGCTAGGTGACCTCCAACGTCCCTTCCAACATCATCATCATAAATATTACTATTATTATTATTATTATTATTATTATTATTATTATTATTATTATTATTATTATTATGGATCATCGCACCGTCAGCCAGATGTTCAGACTGGATTTGGCATTTTGTCTACCTATCGAGTCCTTACCCAGGACCTGGGATAGGCAGATGTGGATGTTTGAGGGTATTACAGATATCGTCGCAGGATGGAAGCAGTTCCTATTATTGTTGTTGTTGTTGTTATATGACGGTTGTGGCATCCGGAGATCACGTGATCCCCTTTTCCGACCTTCTGACAAGAAAAGTCCATGGGGAAGCCAGATTCACTTGACCGCCGGGTTACTGATACATCACCGGCAGTGATCCACTTAACAACGGTGGCGAGAAAGGTCGTACAATGGGGCCAAGCTCACTTAACAAACGTCTCGCTTAGCAGCATAAATGTGGGGCTCAATTGTGGCCGTACGTCCAGGCCCACCTGTGTGTTGTTGTTCTACACAGTCTGTTGCTCTCCAGACAGGCATGCCTGACTCCCTTTTTCGCTGTTTCCTGCTGTTCTTCGAAATAGAAGTCAAAGTCCATCGGGTCAGCCCCACACCTGCTTCCTTCTAAGTCTAGACATCTCTGGGTGTGGCTTCCAGATAAACTGCCTGTTTTAAGGCGCTGTCAGGCGAGCAAGATCAGGTCAACATGTGAAGGTTCAATGAAGCTGTCATCATGATATAAAAAAGATGTTGAGACTCTAGAAAGAGTGCAGAGAAGAGCAACAAAGAGGATCAGGGGACTGGTGGCTAAAAATATAAGGAAACATATAAGGAAATATATAAGTCTATTTTCTATTCTATTTTCTATTCCATTCTATTCTGGAATTGGGCCTGTCTAGTTTAATGAAGAGAAGGACGAGGGGGGACAGGATAGCAGTCTTCCAATATCTCAGGGGCTGCCCCAAAGAAGAGGGAGTCAAGCTGTTCTCCAAAGCACCTGAAGGCAGGACAAGAAGCAACAGATGGAAACTAACCAAGGAGAGAAGCAACCTAGAACTAAGGAGAAACTTCCTGACAGTGAGAACAATTAATCAGTGGAACCACCTGCCTCCAGAAGCGGTGAATGCTCCAACACTGGAGGTTTTTAAGAAGAGACGGGACAGCCATTTGTCCGAAATGGGATAGGGTTTCCTGCCTGAGCAGGGGGTTTGACTAGATGACCTCCAAGCTCCGTTCCATCATCATCATCGTCATCATCATCATTATTATTGTTGTTGTTGTTGTTTCCTGTTTTAGCAGGGGATTGGATGACCTCCAAGGTCCCAACTTTTTAATAATAATAAAATAATAATAATAATTATTATTATTATTATTATTGTTATTATTATTATTATTATTATTATTATTATAGCTAGTCTTTGACTTGCAACAGGGGTGTCAAACTGCCAGCCTGCGATGCAGTCATGGTGAAATCGTGCCTGCCCCATTGCCGGCAATGGAAAAAAAAGTCACGATACGTTGCGACATGTCGCGTGACGTGGCCAGTTTAACACCCTTGACTTACAACAACAGTTGTGCGCAAAGTTTCTGTCCCTACGCGAGACAGGTGTTAAAGGAGTTTTGCCCCATTTTACAACCTTTCTTGTCACAGCTGCTACAATTGAATCACTGCAGTTATTAAGTTAGTAACCTGGTGGTGAAGTGACTCAGTCATTCCCATTGACTTTGCTGGTCAGAAGGTCGCAAAAGGGAATAATAATAACAACAACAACAACAAATAAGCTGGAAGGGACCTTGGGGGTCATCTAGTCCAGCCCCCTGCTCAAGCAGGCGACCCGATACCATTGGTGGCGAACCTATGGCACGCGTACCAGAGGTGGCACTCTCTGGGCACGTGCGCTGTTGCTCCAGCCCCGCCTCCCTCCGTGGGCTCACCAGCAGCCCCCTCGGTGGAGAGCTGCCCCCGGGCGTGGCCTGCGTGGAGCAGTGCAGCCAGGACAGGACTCCGCCCTCGTGCCCCATCGCGCGCAGATGATGCTGCGGAGCGTGGGTGGAGGGCATGGCCATGGTGCTGTTGGGCCGCCTGGGCGATCTGCTGCAGGCCATGGAGGCAGTGGGTAGCCCCGCGGGTGGGGCGGGGCGCAGAGTCGGGGCGGGGGGCTAGGCGGTGTTTGGGCACTTGGTCTCTCAAAGATTTGCCATCACTACCCTATACCAGTGATGGTGAACCTTTTAGAGACCGAGTGCCCAAACTGCAGCCCTGTAGTCATGACAGACTGGGTGGGTGTGGCCAAGGTGGGCATGGTCATCTCAATGTTGCTCGGGAGGGACACCTGTTGGGCAGGGTTGGGGGAGATCCAGGGAGGTCTCTGGCAGGTGGGGCGGTGGGTAGGAGGCTTGTCCTGCGGGGTGAGGCGAAGCAGGGCGGGGATGCCATTGTCACAGGGTAAGGTGAGGCAGGGGCCAAGATGGCTGTTGCCTGACACCATCGGCCCGCACACACAGAGGCCAGCCAGCGCATGGGGGCCGACAGTGTCCGTCAGCAGCCACAACCTGCCAGCCCCTTGACCGGCGCACTCTGGGGCTCCGCAGCCCGCCGCCAGCAGTTCAGAGAAGCCGCCTCTGAGCTGGACGGCCACCTGACAGCTGAGAAGGCGATTCAGTGGTTCGTGTCCGGGAAAAGGAGAGCATGCGAGGCCAGGAGGGACGGGGGGAGGGAAAACAGCCGTGCTGGGATGCATCCGGCCACGTGGGACCTCGGCGAGTTAGCGGGCAGCTGGTTGAAGAGGGATAGTTGTCATCTTCAGGGCATGGCGCATGTGCTCACAGAGAGGGCGTGCCATAGGTTCGCCACCACTGATCTATACCAGTGGTGGCGAACCTATGGCACGAGTGCCAGAGGTGGCACTCAGAGCCCTCTCTGTGGGCACGCACACCATCATCCCAGTCCTAGGCCTTCAGCTGGGTTTTATAAAAACTTTTCGTTTTAGGCCTCCACCACCATGTGCAAAAAAAAGAAAGGTGCAATCAATCAGTCAATTTCAACTTCTCGCGGTGGAAAAAAAGATCTTGTAAAGTTGGAATTGATTGAACTTTTTAGTCCCACCCAGTCTGCTGTTACCACTGCAGCCACGCCCACCCAATGGGCCACACCCACTCAATGGACCACATCCACCCGGCACCCGATGATGCATAAGTGGGTTTTAGGTTGCAGTTTGGGCACTCGGTCTCTAAAAGGTTTGCCATCACTGTTCTATACCATTTCAGACAAATGGCTGTCCCGTCTCTTCTTAAAAACTTCCAGTGTTGGAGCACTCGCCCCTTCTGGAGGCAGGTGGTTCCACTGGTTAATTCTTGGATCACTTCCAGGACACTGCGACCATCATAATCATGAGCCAGTTGCCGAGCGTCTGAATTTCAATCTCACGACCATGGATTTGCTTGCCATGGTGGTTAAGTGTGGAAAAAAGGTCCTCGTGTCACTTTCTGACGTGCTGGTGTAATTTTGGAACGGTCACTAAATGAAGTATTTGTTAATTCGAGGGGTACCTGTACTCGGCACGGAAATCTTCTCGACTGAAGGTTGAGGCGCAAAGTCCATGGGGAAGCCAGATTCACTTAACAACCGTGTTACCAACTTAACTGCCGTGATTTGTTTAACAACGGTGGCGAGAAAGGCCATAAAATGGTGCAAAACTCACTTTGCGACCATCTTGTTTACCAATATAAATTTGGGGTTCTGTTGTGTTCGTATTTATTTTATTTTATTTATGAGACTTATATACCGCTTTTAAGTGCAAGCACTCTCTAAGCGGTGTACACCAGTAAGCAATGTATATATATATATTTACATTGCCCCCAACAATCTGGGTCCTCATTTTACCTACCCCGGAAGGATGGAGGGCTGAGTCAACCTTGAGCCAGTGAGATTTGAACCGCTGACCTGCTGAACACAGTCAGCGAAAGTGGCCTGCAGTACTGCACTCTAACTGCTGCGCCACCTCGGCTCGTATGTCGAGGGCTAGCTCTATAAAAGGGAATCAAAGGATAATCTAGCCAGATTTGCTATCTTTTGAAAGGCTGTTATTTCGAGGGCCTGATCTAATCCTATCCCACTTCCATGTATGACCTTTTGTAAGCGCTGAAGGCCTTATAAAGAAATAATTTTGCCCTACCTCTTCTCCTTCTCCCAGCGAAAGGAACGCTTAGCGAGGACACGATCCGGGTCTTCCTGCAGCAGATCGCGGCTGCCATGCGCGTTCTGCACGGCAAAGGCATCATCCACAGGGACCTGAAGCCCCAGAACATCCTGCTGTCGTACGCCAGTCGCAGGAAGTCCAACGTCAGCGGCATCCGCGTCAAGATAGGCAAGTCCGCGCCAGTTCTCTAGCGTGGGGTCTCCCTGTGAGGAGCTCTCCTTTAAAACTTAACGTTGACAAGCCACACTGGGCTTGTCACACCTGCCAGTGCTTAAACCTCTAAATCAGTGGTTCTCAACCTTTTTAATGCCACGACCCCCCCCCCACCCGGTCGTAAGTCGAGGACTACTCAACCGGTCGTAAGTCGAGGACTACTCAACGGGTGCAGCACCGTTTGCAGAATGGGACTTTTGGCGGGCTCAGCAGGGCAGAGACAGCCTGAACAATTCCTATTGGCTTTTGAAAGCCAATAGAATTAGACTCTATTCAAGAGAGTCTATTCTATTGGCTTTCAAAAGCCAATAGAATAAAAGGGAGTAGCACAGCTAAGGAAAAGGCGGGGGGGAAATGGCGGACTGCGTTGTTTGGCAACCCCCGTGAAATGGTCGTTCGACCCCAAATGGGGTCCCGACCCACAGGTTGAGAATCACTGTTTTAAATGAAGACGTCCTGGAATTACGGAATCCACTTCCACCAAATGGCCAAATGTCATTTTATCAAAATGATCAGAATGTGAAATACAGATGGAAATGAAGACGATAGGAAAAAAAAGAAAGGGGAAGAAAACGGGCAAGAGAGGTATAGGTACAGGGGTAAAGGAAAAAGGGGTACACTTCCACCTTTTTTTTCAGCACAGTGAAGCACAAAATAAAATTGCAACCTTCAACTTTTTTACTGTACCAGCTTAACAAATATTAGCCGTTTCTTTAACTGTGTATATTAATCAGTAAAACCCCAGCATCAAGAGTTTGCCACAAGAACAAAGTCCAGAAATTGTTTCCCTACAAAGCTGGATATACCGTTTCCTGACCAGTTGGGACAGCGGTCCCCAATCTTTCCGGCTCGGCGGACCGCCAAGGAGAAGATAGTTTTTGCGTGTGCACCGCTTCCGCAAATGTAGCTTCATGCACTCACCTGCCGCTTGTGTGGCCTGGTTCCCAACAGGCCACGGCCTGCCTCCGGGCCACAGACTGGGGCTTAGGGACCCCTGAGTTAGGAGATGGGGTGGTCAAAGTCACAAACCTCTGGAGGTCCCAGAGTAGGAAAGCTTGGGCCACATTATGCGTGCCTAGTGTCAAGGTTCCGAGTCACGAACCCAGCCGAGCTAAGGCCATCGAGACGATCGGATCGCTTAATGCAAAACTTTATTGAGCACATCATTTCGGCACAAATGAAGCAGAACCAGCTCTGCTTAATTCCCGATCAAACCACTATAATTAACATATAGAATTTTCCTAAGACTTATCTATTTCCCACCATATTAAATCATCTACTTAATAACACAATATCCCCTTTAATAAATCAAAAACCATTATGTATGTATGTACGTAGGTCTTTGGTTATTCGGGTTTTCTCCCGCGTCAAATTGGAAGTGTCTTGGTGACGTTTCGATGAAATCTCATTCGTCATCTTCAGGCTGGTGTTTTCGGCTTCGTGCTTCTAGGACAGTGGTTCTCAACCTGTGGGTCGGGACCCCATTTGGGGTCGAACGACCATTTCACGGGGGTCGCCAAACAAGGCTGTCCGCCATTTTTTCCCCCTTTTCTTTGGCCACGCCCTTGGCACCCGGTGATGTACAAGTGGTTGGGGGTCACCACAACATGGGGAACTGATTTAGGGGTCGCGGCATGAGAAAGGTTTGAGAACCACTGTTCTAGGAAGCACGAAGCCGAAAACACAGCCGAAAGATGACGAAGGGAACTTATCGAAACGTCTCGACAAGCCAATCCAAATTTGACGCAGGAGAAAACACGGAATAAACAAAGACCCCCACCCCCCTCTCTCTCTCTCGCTCTCCTCTCTCTACTCTCTCCTATCTCTCTCTCTCTTATAATATATAGATATATAATATCATCAATATATACTATATATATATATATATATATATATATATATATATATATGAGTTCCCCATGTCTCAAATCTCCCTTTAGCCCACTATTTATATTGAAATAGATAAAAATGTCTATTTTGGATATTATAGTTTGTTATGTAGTGAAGTAAGGGAAATTTTGGTTACCCAAAGTCTGAAAATTATAAACATCAAAGGTCAAATTGGAATATTGACAAGAAATTAAAAAATTGACTAAAAATCCACAACAGGATATGGATGGTTTATGAAGATTGAATGTAATTAAGATATGTATACACTAAAAATTTATTGATAAATGTAATAATGATGTCCGTATTGAATTGATATAATTAGAAATGTACCAACCTGAACATGAGACAGTAAAAGTTAAGGGAAAAAGAGAAAAAATATTTAATGTTGTAGCCTGAGATTTGTACTAAGATATTGTTATTGGGCTATTGATTAACCCAGCCACCACCTTGCTTTGGAAAATTGGAAAATTTATAAAATATTATATATATATAATTCTCCCTTCCCCTATTAGTGCAGGTCACGTGGTCCAGTCGAGTCCCAAATTACTGCTACGAGAAAGGGTCTTTGTGGGTTTGCAAACATCTGCTGAAACGTCCTTGATTCACATGGGCTGACTTCTTGCTGTCTGGAGCCTGCAATCCATTTCCCCCTCCCCTCCCCCGTAGCGCATTGGCAAGCTGAGAAGCAGTAATAGTGGCAACATCACACGCGCGCTTCGAGCTTGACACCTACTTAGGTCCTCCTGTTTGAGCAGGGGGTTAGACTAGAAGACCTTCAAGGTCCCTTCCAACTGTGTTCTGTTATTCGCAGTTGAGAGCATAACTGTGGTCTGTTTTTCTTCAAGCAGCTGACTTTGGCTTCGCCCGCTATCTCCAGAGCAACATGATGGCAGCCACCCTCTGCGGCTCCCCGATGTATATGGTGAGTGAAGTCTTCCTGGTTTTCTTCACCTCTAGGTAGAGCAATGGTTCTCAACCTGTGGGTCGGGACCCCATTTGGGGTCGAACGACCATTTCACGGGGGTCGCCAAACAACGCAGTCCGCCATTTTTTCCCCCTTGTCCTTAGCTGTGCTACTCCCTTTTATTCTATTGTCTTTTGAAAGCCAATAGAATAGACTCTCTTGAATAGAGTCTAATTCTATTGGCTTTCAAAAGCCAATAGGAATTGTCCAGGCTGTCTCTGCCCTGCTGAGCCCGCCAAAAGTCCCAGTCTGCAAACGGTGCTGCACCAGTTGAGTAGTCCCCGGCTTACGACCGGTTGAGTAGTCCTCGACTTACGACGGGTTGGGGGGTCGTGGCATTAAAAAGGTTGAGAACCACTGAGGTAGAGCTTTGCAACTACAATTTTCAGCTCGAACAGTTTTTATCTGTCTTTAGGGCAGTGGTAATTTTCACTCACTTCTTGGAAGGTGGCTCTTTATTGGACACAGAGAACTGGAGATGAGATCCAGTAGCTCAGGGATCCCCAACCTATGGTCTGCGGCCCGGGACCAGGCCGCGAGCTCTTGGCCAGTGGGCCGTGGAAATGGCTGGCCGGTGTGCACACGCATGGGCGTGCATTTCTCACCCCACTCGTGTTAGCCCCCGCTGCCCCGTTTGCACATGCACTTGGGTGCGAACAGGGATGCTAGCATGGGGCGGGTGTTCGCAGCCCGTTTGCGCATGTGCCACTAGCCAGGGCGGTTTGCGCAGCCCGTTTGCGCGTATGCAAACGGACCGCTAGCTGCCTTGGCGGGTGCTGTTCTCTCACACAGCTACCACCTACCCCCCACTCTACTCAATCTCCTGTTTGTTTTCCAGGCACCGGAAGTGATCATGTCCCAACATTATGATGCGAAAGCCGACCTGTGGAGTATAGGCACGGTCATCTACCAGTGTCTGGTTGGGAAGCCACCCTTTCAGGTAGGCACAGAGAATAGGGAACGCTAAAGGAGAATATTTGTGGCGCAGGGTCGAAAGGTGGGGTCCTTGGTGCTCTCTGAGTTTGGTGGTTTTCTTGCAGACGTTTCAAGACCCAACTAGGTAACATCATCAGTGCTAGAAGGGAGAAGGAGGACTGTGGGGTCCTTGGTGCTCTCTGAGCTGGGTGGGTTTTCCTGCAGACGTTTCATGACCCAACTAGGGAACATCATCAGTGCTAGAAGGGAGGAGGAGGAGGACTGTGGGGTCCTTGGTGCTCTCTGAGGTTGGTGGTTTTCTGGCAGACGTTTCATTACCCAACTAGGTAACATCATCAGTGCTGGAAGGGCGTGGGATTGCGGGAGAAGGAAGAGGAGGACTGTGGGGTCCTGGGTGCTCTCTGAGCTGGATGGTTTTCTTTCATTACCCAGCTAGGTAATGTCAGCAGTGCTAGAAGGGCGTGGGATTGTGGGAGCAGGAGGAGGACTGTGGGGTCCTTGGTGCTCTCTGAGTTGGGTGGGTTTTCCTGCAGACGTTTCATGACCCAACTAGGTAACATCATCAGTGCTAGAAGGGAGGAGGAGGAGAAGGAGGACTGTGGGGGTCTTTGCTGCTCTCTGAGCTGGGTGGTTTTCCTTCAGACGTTTCATGACCCAGCTAGGTAACATCATCAATGCTTGAAGGGAGTGGGGTTCGCTCTCTGTTGATACACAAGTGGATTGCCCTGTCAGTGTTGATGGGAGTGCTCTTGGCGGTTCCTTGACCAGGCTGTTGTTTACTGTTAGCTTGTTTATATGAGTCGGTAGTTCCCTGATTGGGCCAAAGAAAGAGTAGAACTCACATTCCCTTCTAGCACTGATGACGTTCCCTAGTTTGGTGATAAAACATCTGCGAGGAGACCGCCAAGCTCAGAGAGCACCAAGGACTTCTCAATCGTAGCGCTTCTAAGAGTAGCCTCCTTGAAAATCAGTCCCCGTGTTTCTAACAACAACGTTTTGTGAGTCGATCCTGGCTGAACTCTTACAAATGGGTGCCAGAAAGAGCCAGGAAACAGACAGCTAACCTCGGGGCTACCTACTTTTCTATCTGTTTAGAGCAGTGGTTCTCAACCTTTTTAATGCCGCGACCCCCAACCAGTCGTAAGTCGAGGACTACTCAACCGGTTGTAAGTCGAGGACTACTCAACTGGTGCAGCACCGTTTGCAGAATGGGACTTTTGGCGGGCTCATCAGAGTAGAGACAGCCTGGACAATTCCTATTGGCTTTTGAAAGCCAATAGAATTAGACTCTATTCAAGAGAGTCTATTCTATTGGCTTTCAAAAGCCAATAGAATAAAATGGAGTAGCACAGCTAAGGAAAAGGGGGGAAAAATGGCGGACTGCGTTGTTTGGCGACCCCCGTGAAATGGTCGTTCGACCCCAAATGGGGTCCCGACCCACAGGTTGAGAACCACTGGTTTAGAGAAATGGGTCGTTTTTGTGGGGGGGGGGGTTGCCTACTAACGACAGCCCTTTGCTGCTCCGTTGATCGCAGGGCACCGCTAATTGTCCTTATTACCTTTCTAAAATGGATACCGTGGTTTGTAACGCTGTTGTGCAATATGGAGACTGTGAGATGTAAAAACCCCAAATTTTGATACTCACAATACGAAGACAAGTCTGGTTAACAAAACCAAGGTTTATTGGAGAATATCATAAAAAGAATAAAAAGAGAAGAGAAGCGTTTGCAAACGGGCCTCCTGGATCCTTCCCTATGGATTGTTTTCCAGGAACGCACAAGATCTGCATTTTATATCCCTACAATGCATGTCACATCTAAGAAGCTCTTTCATCTTTATCAATGTACTTGGAAGTTGTACTTAAAGTTATCCTGACCTCTTCCACCCATCTGCTGTTATCTTGTTTATTTGTAATTTTCACCTTGGGTCAAAATCCCCCTCTTTGATAGTGATTTCGACTCAAAGTGTAAGTTCCCTGAAGTTCCCGTGTCAGGAGGATTTTTAGGCAGGAAATAGTAAACATTTGGTCATAATTAATTATCTTTGCTGATTACCACTTGTAGTCACTTTTACATGGGCAGAAAACAGTAAACATTCCTGTTTCATATTTTGGCATTACATTGTTACATGTGCATTACAGCAGTGTTTCTCAACCTTGACAATTTTAAGGCATGTGGACTTCAACTCCCAGAATTCCACAGCCAGCAGCGCTGGCTGTGGAATTCTGGGAGTTGAAGTCCACATGCCTTAAAATTGTCAAGGTTGAGAAACACTGTGTTACAGTGTTAGAAGTAAAGTCTTCATCCTGGTTCATCCAAGCCGGGAATAAATAAGCAAACGTGGCGACTGCTTTAGGAAGAAGGTTACAGTTTATTGAAGCAGAAAGATGGTTCTTCAGGAAAGAACAGAGGAGAGAAGGGTTGAGCACATGGGGGTTGTAAGTTTTTATATCCCCTCTAGCCTTTTGTTTGGAATAGTTTCCTGTTCCTGTGGCATGAACTTTGAGGCTATTTCCTGTGTCACGTATTCTGACCTGTTTTAGGTGTGCCTCTATGGCAATGGTTCTCAACCTTTTTAATGCCGCGACCCCCAACCGGTTGTAAGTCGAGGACTACTCAACCAGTCGTAAGTCGAGGACTACTCCACTGGTGCAGCACCGTTTGCAGAAGGGGACTTTTGGCGGGCTCGGCAGGGCAGAGACAGCCTGGACAATTCCTATTGGCTTTTGAAAGCCAATAGAATTAGACTCTATTCAAGAGAGTCTATTCTATTGGCTTTCAAAAGCCAATAGAATAAAAGGGAGTAGCACAGCTAAGGAAAAGGGGGAAAAAAATGGCGGACTGCGTTGTTTGGCGACCCCCGTGAAATGGTCGTTCGACCCCAAATGGGGTCCCGACCCACAGGTTGAGAACCACTGCTCTATGGTATGGTACTTGATGGTAATGGGTTAGTCCTATTATATCTCCTGCTTCCCTGGGGCTGGGCTAATGAATCTTACGAGTTTCTTTGTCTTGAGTTCCCTGACTCCAACCTTCCTCATGGTCTTATATCTGCATTTCTATGAGGTTAGCTCTTGCTTGGGGCAAAGAAATTTGGGGCCAGGTTTGGTTTCTGCTTTGAAAAAAAAATTCTTTTGGTGAAAAATATATTTTCCTTTTTAATATTTCCTTCTGGGGGGGGGGACTAACTTCCCTCAACAGTGTTACATTTGTACTAAAGAGACAGTTTCATATAATGGCATTACATTTCTACAATTATGAAAAGAACAACTTTTATTTCCTTCCAAGACCAAGCAAACCATCATCCGGTTTGGGGCATTGAATGCAGCTGACCTCAAAAAACACCCTCAATTAACTTGTGGCCAATCCCGTTTTCGCAGGCAAATAGTCCTCAGGATCTGCGCATGTTTTACGAGAAGAACAGAAACCTCATCCCGAGGTAAGGTTGACCTCTAAATTGTGGCAGCCGAATTTCGGTGCCTTTCGTCTGTGCTAGCCGTGCCCCCCTTGCCTGTGCCTTCCAGGTAGCTGCAAGGATGGCACGGTATTCTGGCCCGTGTGGACGGCTTCGGACCTCGGGAGAAGCTGCCACCGTTAATCTCCTGCCTAATTTTTTTTTTTCCGCTTTTAGTATCCCCAGGGAGACGTCGGCATACTTGTCCGATTTGCTTCTGAGCTTGCTTCAAAGAAACCAGAAAGACAGGATGGACTTTGGTGAGTAAAAGAACACCGGGATGGTTAAAACTCTCCTTTCTTTTTTCTTCTTCTTTTCCTTTCCAAACTGATCCGTGTCCAATCCTGTTTGTAATCCGAGCAATGATCCCCTTCAAAGGAGCAGGGCGGTGACTTTTACAAAGAAGCTCAATGTCAGAGGTTCCGACTAATGAAGCACTTCAAAGAACTTTCAGGCATGTTTCCTAAAGTCTTTATTACAGAGCTACAAATTGCCGGTCACCATCATGGATGTTGTGATGCCAGAATCTGACTTCCTCTCACTGGCATCAATCTTTTCTTGCTAAACCCCTCCCTCTCTTGCAGTCACCTCACATTATCCAATTAGTGTGAGGGTCAAAAGTTTACTTCCTCTTTCTTCCCCCCCCCCCCCCGGCTTTTTCCCCCCAACTCTAAGCTATGTATTAACCCAGTAAATACCAGACAGTTTTGTATATTGTCAAAGCAAGAATATACAGTATTTGCAGCATCGACACTCAAATTGATTTATTGTAGACGTTGGTTCCAGGAAAGGTCAAATTGAGCAGCCAGCACCGAGACAGCATTTCCTGTTTCTTTGGTTGAAATGACTTCCTCTCTTTCCTTCGGGAGCATAAGGCACTCTTTGTAGAAACCCCCTCTCGTGTTTTCCCCCTAACACAGGGGTCCCCAGCCCCCCCTCCCCCCCGAGGCCGGGCCCGCAGCCTGTTTGGCACCGGGCCATGGAAGTGGTGGGCCGGTGCGCACGCAGGCACAGGCGAAGCTGGGTTTGTGAAAACTGCATGGGAAGCCATCCCTTCTCCCCAGCCGCTGCCTCTGCTGATCCCCCCACTCTGGAAAAGTTAGAAAGAAGTCTTGTGAAGTAGTGTTGTCCCCAATTTGGATCTGAGCCTGGTTGCCAAAGCCGATGAAGAACCCCAGACACGAGGTGCAGGTTTTGTTTCCTTTTATTGAAGCGCTTCGGCAAAAAGGGGGCCCCAGCCAGCAAAATGCCAGGACCCAGAACAAAGGGTTTAACAACCTTTTTTTTATTTTTTTCAAGGCAGGATAAAAGAAATACAGTCGTGGCCAAAAATTGTGGAAACCTTTTGGGAAAGGTGTACAGTAGCAATGCCACCTTTGGTTTAAGTTTCCACCCATTTGTCTTCTCATTTCTTTATAACTGTAGTCTTGTTCACGTAATAATTCTATTTTGCGTGGCTTTCTGGGCGACCAGTCATCTCTTTGCACCATGACTTTAATTTTATTACGTTTTGCAAGCTCACTCAGTGAAAGAACACAGAAAAGCCCAACCAACCATAATACACTGATAAATGTCCTCCTCTCAGCTTCAATATAGGACATCAATAACTGGATCCTACCATGATCTAATTGGCTCATTGCCAAAGCAAGATGACGCCTAATTGGCTCTCTAAACCAGTGGTTCTCAACCTGTGGGTTGGGACCCCATTTGGGGTCGAACGACCATTTCACGGGGGTCGCCAAACAACGCAGCCCGCCATTTTTCCCCCCTTTTCCTTAGCTGTGCTACTCCCTTTTATTCTATTGGCTTTTGAAAGCCAATAGAATAGACTCTCTTGAATAGAGTCTATTCTATTGGCTTTCAAAAGCCAATAGGAATTGTCCAGGCTGTCTCTGCCCTGCTGAGCCCGCCAAAAGTCCCATTCTGCAAACGGTGCTGCACCAGTTGAGTAGTCCTTGACTTACGACCGGTTGAGTAGTCCTCGACTTACGACCGGTTGGGGGTTGCGGCATTAAAAAGGTTGAGAACCACTGCTCTAAACACTCACGCTCATTGGCTACAATCAGGTGAAGGAAAGTTACCTGAGGTCAACCTGAGCAAGTTGTGCTTCCTTTTTCTGGTTATTTGGCTATACCTTTTCACAGAACACAGTACAGATAATTGAACAAACTTTGTTGCATTACATTCTTGATTAAATGATCTTTCCATTGATATATAATTTTATGGTACTACTCCCCCCAAAAAAGTGGTGTTATTAGCCATCAAACCTCAAAAATATACTTTTCCCAAAAGGTTTTCCACAATTTTGGCCACTACTCTATTGTCTAACAGGCATTCTGAAAGTTACCTAAAGGGTCCTCCGTTGGCTCCCCGCCATCCCTATTTCTGAGTCTTAACTAATAAAGCACTTCAAAAGTTACCTAACAAGTATTCTATTGGCTCTATTTCAGCCCTATTCCTCAAAGTTAACCAATAGGCATCCCAGAAAACTTTTAGCAAGTCATCTCTTGGCTCTGGTCTTAGCCCTATTCATTTTAGCAATATGTCTTGTATGATGTGCCTGGCCATTCTTGTTTTCTACATTGAAAGAGGCCCCACCTGTCCACACTCCCTATTACTTTATCTTTGTTATACAGACCTGTACATCTCCCTTCCTTCTTTCTGAGTTCATGCCACAACTTTGTATTTTTATAGCAGATGGCCCACCGAGGTCTTTAAACATTCCAAGTAACGTGGTCAGTCAATCCAATAGTTTGAGTCTCCAGGGTTCCCAAACAGAAGTCACAGGACAAGAGATCAGCAACAATACACAGCACTCCAAGGAATCAGCGTTTGTTCCCGACAAATGCCCCTCCACACAGTGTCTCCTTAAATCTCAATCCCCAGGTGTGCCTTGTGGAGAAGGGCGGGATGCTCTCCTCCCAAGTAGTGGTTGAGCCTGCCTGCATCGTTCCCTCCTTCTGTCCACTCTCCGTGCTCTAGGACAGTGGTGGCGAACCTATGGCACGCGTGCCAGAGGCGGCACTTGGAGCCCTCTCTGTGAGCACACGCGCCATGCCCCGGAGATGGCAACTGTCCCTCTTCAATCAGCCGCCCGCTAACTCGCCGAGGTCCCACGTGGCCGGATGCATCCCAGCATGGCTGGTTTCCCTCCCCCCCTGTCCCATCCCTCCTGGCCTGGCATGCTCTCCTTTTTCCGGGCACGACCCACTGCATCTATGCTTCTCTGAACTGCTGGCAGCGGGCTGCAGAGCCCCAAAGTGCGCCGGTCAAGGGTCCGGCAGACTGTGGCTGCTGATGGACACCGTTGGCCCCCATGCGCTCGCTGGCCTCTGTGTGCGGGGGGCCGATGGTGTCAGGCAGCAGCCGCCCTGGCCAGCCCTGAAGCAATGACACCCCTGCCCTGCCTCGCCTCGCCTCACCCCGCAGGACGAGCCTGCTGCCCACCATCCCGCCTGCCAGAGACCCCCCTCCCGGATCTCCCCAAGCCTGCCCGGCCCCCACAGGCGACCCTCCCCACGAGCAACATCGAGGTGACCGTGCCCACCTTGGGCACGCCCACCCAGTCTGTCACGACCACCACAGCCACGCCCACCCAGTGGGCCAGGCCCACCTGGCACCCGACGATACAGAAGTGGGTTTTGGGTTGAAGTTTGGGCACTCGGTCTCTAAAAGGTTCGCCATCACTGCTCTAGGATCAGGTGGGGGTGCCTCGGCCTGCTCTTCCCCACATTCCTCTGAAACCACAGACCCCTCTACCTCCCAGCATGCTTCTGAGTGTGCTGCACATGTTGCGGGAGACAAATTTAGCCCCTGTCCACAACTTCTGAAAGCAACGGTGTCTCTCCCCCGCTGTCCTTGGAATTGCTTGAAGGACTTGCGGACAGATGCCCGTTCATGCTTTGAAGGACCTTCCCGGAATCGGATCCAAAGCCCTGCATCCCGAGGCTTGGCTGGTGGCCCACAGCCCCTTCTACCTATCCCAAACATCACATCCAAGGGGACGCTGTCTGCCACCTGCCTCCCAAGTAGGTCAGGGTGGAGGAAGCAAAGTAGAGCGGCCGGCTTGTAGCATCAGCCTTGCCCAAGCCTCCTCGCCCAGTGCCCGCTCAGAACCAGCCGTCCAGTCTTGTGTGGTGGAATCTACGGACCAGAATTAAAAATGTCACGCTCTAAAATAAAACAGAATAATTGCGATTAGTGGCGAGGTCACCTGCCTCCTTTTACAGACGGTTCAGAGAGTCCTTGCCTTACGACCACAATCACACCCAATATTTCTCTTGCTAGGCGAGACGGTTGTCAGTTGAATTTTGCCCCCATTTATGAACTTTCTTGCCACAGTAGTTAAGTGAGTAGTAACACCAAGTACAACGCCTTGGAATACGGCATCCAGTTTTGGTCACCACGATGTAAAAAAGATGTTGAGACTCTAGAAAGAGTACAGAGAAGAGCAACAAAGATGATTAGGGGACTGGAGGCTAAAACATAAAAGGAATGGCTGCTGGAATTGGGGATGTCTAGTTTAACGAAGAGAAGGACGGGGGGGGAGGGACAGGATAGCCGTGTTCCAGTATCTCAGGGGCTGCCCCAAAGAAAAGGGAGTCAAGCTATTCTCCAAAGCGCCTGAAGGCGAAACAAGAAGCAATGGATGGAAACTGATCAAGGAGAGAAGCAACTTAGAACTAAGGAGAAACTTCCTGACAGTTAGAACAATTAACCAGTGGAACAACCTGCCTCCAGAAGCAGTAAATGCTCCAACACTGGAAGTTTTTAAGAAGAGACTGGACAGCCATTTGTCCGAAATGGTGTAGGGTTTCCTGCCCGAGCAGGGGTTTGGACTAGATGACCTCCAAGGTCCCTTCCAACTTTATTATTATTATTATTATTATTGGATCATCGCACAGTCAGCCAGATGTTCAGACTGGATTTGGCATTTTGTCTACCTATCGAGTCCTTCCCAAGGACCTGGGATAGGCAGATGTGGATGTTTGATGGTATTATTATTATTATTATTATTATTGTTGTTGTTGTTGTTGTTGTTGTTGTTGTTGTTGCTAAATGAATCTGCCTTCCCCATTGGCTTTACTTGACCCTGGGTGTCAGACTGCTCCCAGCGTGAATCTCTAGATAGAAGCAATCCTTGGATCCATTTGTTGAGAAAGGTACAGTGTGTTACCAATCAAGCATATTGCAGAATTGCAAAGCCAGAACTGAGAATTGCGCACCAAAATTGCTAAGTTTGACTCTCCTCCCCCCTTCC